AAACCATGTGGACAAAAACCTGAGATGAGGTCAAGGACACGCTGAGGTTTGGACCAGTCCAGATCACTGGGACGTGTCTGCAGCTGTCCACTCTGATGATTAATGACCAGAGGGATTCCCCTGGTCAGCCTGAACCTCTGCTCTATTGATGCTGGTCCACCTTTCACTGCTGATGGTCTGAAGCCCTGTAGGTTCTCACTGAGCTGTCAGTGAACGCAGCACAGCTCAAATATGGGATTACATCAGTGCTAATCTGCGCTGGATTAGCACTAATATAATCCTATATTCCATCGTCAGACACGGACTGGTGTTTTTTATTATTCAGTTACATAAAAAAGTTTGATAACGGATACTCAAGTACACAAGATGTAAAAGTCAAGATAACGGATACTCAAGTACACAAGATGTACAAAGTCTGCAGTACTTCAAGTCCACAGTATCCAAGACAACAAACACCAGAGCTAACGTTAGCTACAACAGTCATTCATTTTTTTCAAAGCCTCCAATAATCTTTCATTTAAAAATGGAACTTCTGGGACTGAGGCGTTAGCTACAACAGTCATTCATTTTTTCAGAGCCTCGAACACTCTTCTATATAAAATGGAACTTTGTTTAACTATGTTCAACTTTTCAACAATGTTATTGTTTGGTTTAACTATGATATTTATTTCTTAACCCTTTTATTTGGACTTTATTTTCTCCTGAGATCAGAGGAATCAAAGTCCATGACCAGGGGAGAATGAGTCAGCGTGGTTGCGAGCACGACTCTGTCCGAGTGTAGGAACAACTTGACCACGAGTTTCACCTCAGCCCAGATCTCAGTGACTGAAACGTCAGCATTACTCAGCCGTGATGTGGAGCTGACACTCGGAGCTTCACGTCTCCGTCCCAGCACCGACACAAACACTTGGTTTAAAGGAACCTCTGCCTTTATGTCATTTCAAAAAGGAGGGGGCGTGGTGAGCGGCCAGGTTACGCTCCTCTATTCTTCTTCTCCTCCCTTCAGCAGAGCGGTCTGTGTCAGTAGGAGACGGCGGGACAATGGAGGTGATCTCTCTGATCTCAGGGCCTCCATTGTTGCCACTGATGTTATTAATGTTCATCTCTGAGAAAAGCCACGGCCTCTGCCACACGGCTTCAGCCACGCTCTCTCTCTCTCTCTCTCTCTCTTCTACCTCTGTGCTGTGACTCAGTGAGGGAATTCAGCACTTTTATAATTATGGTCTGTCCGGTGTGGTGACTCTCCACATTCACCTCAGGTGATAATGTTCACGTGACATTAAAAATGTAATCATTTAAAATTTTAAATTACAGTGTGATGCAGCTAAGGCAGGGATGGACAAACTAAGGCCCGGGGGCCAGATGTGGTCATTTGCCTTTGTAATCTGACCTGTCAAATTTATCCAAATGATGTCATTAATTAATATATTATTGTTATACCTCTGCCTTTTCCCTGCATCACCGTAGTTCCCCAATAGATGGCAGAGGAAAAAGGCTAAAAGCACTTTAACATGTCGTTTATCTTGAGGCTCCAAATTTTTGGGTTAGTCACAGATAAAGTCTATTTCAATCTAAAAATTCAAATCACATCTCTATTTATTTTAACATTTATTTCCAATTTAATTTTAACTTTGCTTTTCAGGGTTACAGTGACATCACGTCTGACTTTCAATTGTTTTTTCGTCAAACTTTGTGACCTTTAACCGTCACAGCTAAAAAGCTAATATTTAAACTGTATTTATATTCAGTGATCATTACAAAGATGTAGTATTTGTGTATGTAAATTGTGTAGAGAATAAAGTGAACATGCAAATGAATCAGTACAGAGAGAAACTGGTGTCACTGGCCAGGGATTGGCTGCTGATGGAAACCAGCAGAAATGAGAATATATGTGAATATATTTGCCTCCACGACTGAAGGACTGACGCGTCAGTGACCTGGGACGACTCTCTTTACAAAACACCTTAAATGGCTGAAGATAACTGGTACTTAGGAGACGTAACGTGTACATCAGCCTGCACTGCTAAGAGGAGACGGCTGGTGGACACTTAGCATCAGCAGCCTGTGATTGGTCGTTAATCAGAACACGTCTAATCACCTCCGGCAGCTGGTTTCTCTAAACAGACGTAAATAAATGTGTCTGAGCGGAGAGCGATGACTGGCGTAATTAGCATCATTAGCGTTAGCCTGGGACTGCACATTGGAGAAAGAACACAGAAAAATGGCCGCCACCTACGTTTGTGGGACTGGTGTGTAAAAATGTAAATTTTTTACATCATCATTTTTATAAATTTTATATTCTTCTTTACCTATCTAAGAAAATATTTTTTTTGGTGAAAAGGGAATTCCTGACGACGGGAACACTCCTGGCTTCTTCTTTGAACAAACGTGAGTAAAGGCACAGTGCGGTCATTTATCAGCAGGACCGTGGGCTGCCCGTGCCTTGCTGTGCCGAGCCCGAGGTCAGGCTTCCTTCACTGTGGACTGGGAGTAATTATTAACCCACTGGGATTGTCCAGATCTCCGCTGGTCATCCGGGAAAACGGAGAGTCAGAGGTCACGACAGAGCAGGACACTGATAAAAAGGAGGTGACGGAGCTGAAGAGTGGGTTTTTAAAGGTTGGAATGATGGATGAAAATCAAAGTGGAAAATGACGACACTTTGAGAGAAAGAGCCGTTGATCACGGACGACACGTCGGTCTTTAACTCCACGATCTTGATGGAAAAGAAATTAAAAAAAAAAAACAGCGAGTGTGTCTCCAGGAAAACCTCGTCTTCCTGCTGTATTTGAGGTTTAAGGTTTAAGGTTGAACTTCATTGATTGGGGGGGGCAGAGGCAAAGACTGTAGAAAAAAATAGGAATTTACAAATTGTGACGCAACAACAACTAGAATGAGGAGAAAAACAACTGGATCTCAAAGAACACCCAAAGGCACGTCTGTGGCTACAAATCCACTCAATTACATCAAATAAAAATATGTTTTTGTGAAACTAATATTACATAAAAAGTTCATTTTTCCTATCCAAAATATGTTTTTGTGAAACTAATATTAGACAAAATTCATTTTTCCCATCTATCAAATCCAAACCTTCCAAGACTTCAAGCACTTGTACAAACCCAGTCCTTGGACGTCAAATCTGGTATTTGTCATCAGTTCCTCCCACATCATCTACCTCACCCCTGGGGTGTGTGTGTGTGTGTGTGTTAAGAACCCAACCTTTGGAGAAGTGTGATTTTCCAGTCATGGGAAGACCAGAGTTTCCGTGTTCTCTACATAAAAGCCATCACCTCAAACTGGAGGTAAATCAAACCGCGGCTCTGACACCGAGGCCGACGCAGCTTTTGTCACATCACATCTTCAAAAGATGTTGTGGGTTTTGTGGGGAATAAATCGCGCGGTCCGTCTGTGGCCCGGCCCTATATCATATTCAGCGAGCTTGTCGGTGCCGTGGAGGTGGTGAATGGGCCGCCGGGGGCCCAGCCACTGGCGGGTGGTCTGACACAGAAAGGTTAAATATGGTTCAGTCAGCGCGGCTCTCAAAGAGCGCGGCTGTTAAAAAAATAAGTTATGTCGGCCGTACGTCTTCAGGCAGTCAGGATATTGACAATAAGGACACAGCGAGGACAAGACTGTCCCAGGACTGAACCTCAGACTCCCAGAGTCCAGTCACAACAACTCTTGTTTCCAGTGGATTTATTGACAGCTCATCAAAGGCCTGGCTAGACCAGTGTGTGTGTGTGAACACTCATATTCAGTGAACTGATGATAAACTTGAACTCCTCAATTGACAACAGGGAGGAACGTAAATAAAAATGGAGCAGTTACTAAAAAAAAAAAAAAAAGCCACAGAATTTAAAATTTTCCTGTGAGGTGTGAGAAAACATCCATTCACTGAAATATCATCATATTTCCTTTCCTGATCCCGTATCAATCTCCTCTATCAGTTATTGATTTTTGTTCTCTCCAATTCCCAGTCCAATATTCCTGGTGTTGGTTCATTTTCTTTTTCTTGTCTTTCTTCTCTAGTGATTCCAAATGTCCCGTTAAACAAATGTCTGAGGTTTTTAAGTCCAGCTCTGCTCCAGGTGAATGACATTTTCCACAGAGATCATTACAGTGATACTGGGACAGGGGGCGCTCTCTAACAGTGTCACGTTGTTAGTGACTGATCTTGGTTTTTATTTTATCTCCAGCCGTGTCAGGTGGATTCAGGTAGAGGTCAGTGATAAATAGTTCAGTCTCACAGTGACAAAGATTCAACTAAACATTTTTCCTTTTGCACATTTACTCCAACAAACAAAACAGCTTCAAATTGTCTTCATTTTTTTTCTTTATGTTTAAGGGTGTGAGATTGGGCAGGGGTCCAAGAATTTGTGATCGGGATGGGAAGGGGCTTCAAAGCTGAGGGAAGAGGTCCGCGGCCCCCCACTGCAGCCTTGTTCACATGAGAATCAATCTGGTGCCAGTGTTTGATGTGAACCGCAGATAAAAGGAAGCTAACAAAGAGTGACAGCGGGGATATGGACGGACGGGGCACAAACGGGCAGACGGGAGATTAATGGGCAGATGAAACGGTACGAGCTACGGAGAGATGCCACCGAAGGCAAACAAACGTTTACCACAGAAGGGCAAGGGGGGACGTGGGTGGAGACCAGGAGGTGACAAGACGCTCCGGACCAAACAAACCAGACGTGGGTGTAGGAGGACGGACGCTGTCTCTGAGCCTTCACACACACACACACACGGCCCATGGCTCAGTCAGTGGTGGGGGGACAACAGACGGTTCAAAGCCACTGTGGTGTCTTGGTGCACAGTCGACACCAGGAACTGTTATTAGCATCACAAAGCAAACAGCGTTATCATCATCAGCGTCGCTGTCAGGGAGAAAAATGGAACGGTACCGAGTTCAGAGCCCAGACTTCAATCACAGCCGTGGTTCTACAGAGACCGGGGCCGAGCCGCTCACACAGTTAAAATATTACAAACGTTTGTCCTTCCGTTCCTGTCTTGATGTTTTGGGGGTTTTTTTTCTCTCCTCTTTGGTTTTATTTCATCACTGATTGGTTGGTTGTTCAGATTACTGCAGTACAGGTGGACTGTGGGAGGTTTGGAGCGTTTTCTCAGAGTGTGAGTTTTCAGTCTTCCAGGTCAGATGTGGGACCTGAACTGGTCCTTGACCTCTGGACGTTTTCAGTTCTAACTGAGAGCTGGTGCAGTGTTTTATCCTCTTAGTAAAACCTGAATGAAGACAACACTGATGTCAGGAAGGGGTCTGTGAGGGGGGAACACGAGGGGCGGGGTTCCACAATATGATCCCAATTTACAGACCTCCACTGTGTCCTATCAAACCACACCTGAGGACAGTGTCATGACCATCGGTTCTCCAGGAAACTTCTCCAGTCACTTCCTTTTTCCTTCCACCTTCTGTTCACTTCCCAAACTAACAGCCCCCCCCCTTCACCCACCCACAGGTAGAAGCTGTAAAATCCTCAGTAATCTATCAGAAGGTCTGTGGGATCAGACCTTAACCCCCCCTCTGACCCCCCCTCTCCTCCATCAGCTGGTGGTCATGCTCCTCACAGAACAGTGCTGGAATGTTGTTTTATTTGTAGTGAGCTGAAGAGAAAAGTCAGGACGATGCGATTCTGAGCCGCGGCCGGACAATGAGAGGCGGAGAGAACAGGGCCGGGGTCTTCGGGGTCTTCTCCCCGTTCTTATATTTCAGTCAAAACAGGCCGAGACATTGTTGTTCTTTCTGCTAATTAAGCTGTTAGAGAGAGGGGCTGGTCTGACAGGGCCCTGCCTGGCAGGGAGGCTGCGAGTCAATGGGCCGGAGCTGAAGAGGAGACATTTATGAGCTGCCTTTAACCATTGTCCCCCCCCCCTCTTGTCCAGGATCTTTTCAGGCCAGTTGCCTCTGTCTCACTGACCTGTACAATGAGAAGAATGCCACTCTGAGGAGTCAGCGTCGGCCACAAAGAGCAGCCCTGCAGAATGTGGATTTCACGGCACTGGGCCGAAGCCCGGCGCTGCCAAGATTCCGCAGATACTCCGACTTCTACTACATCTACTGCAGGCACCGTGTACATGGGGGGTGAGGGGAGGGGGGGTGTTTATGGACCGAACATCTGACGCAGGCGTTATTAAAAATCTATGTTTCTTGATCCAATGCTTGTGTTGTTCCATTTGGATCTGATTTTCCAGATTTGATGTCCAGCACTGGAAGGACTGGTTCTGTTGGGGCTGCATGGAGTTGATTTTTTCGTTTGCAGTATTTTTTTTTTACTTTGTTAAATTTGGGCCTCAGTCACAGGATTTGGATCTTTTTGGGAAGTTTGTTTTCTGAGATTCGTCTCTGTGAGTTGAAATCTGTTCAATTTATCAGAAATGTTTCTTCAACCAAAAATACTTTCAGATTCTGTACCGGTGCATCTGCCACCTGTTGATTAAACAGGTGAGATGAAGCCTAACTTTTTTTTTAATCATTATTGGGCCCAGAACAACTTTCTTCAAACTCAATTTGAACACAATTTTTTCTGCAGATTTTTCCGCTCCCTGATCCACACCACCTGCCTCCGTCTCCTGGTCCTGCCAGTTCCTGCTCCATGTGTTGCCATAATGCGGCTCCATTTACCACAGAGCGTGGTTCAGCGGCGTCGGAGCGGCCAGCGCCTCGCTCAACAAAGCAGTCCAATTACAGAGCCATTTATGTGTTTGTCAGGGGCTTCAAATGGCCACTACTTCCTCAGGGCGGCCATATTGGCGAGGTCAGGCGCAGCGTCTGATAAGGCGGCTTTATTACAGAGCAAGCCGTCGCTCTCTCAGATGGAGACCCAGGAAGGCAGGAAAATGACAAAAAGAGCAGGGAAAAAAATTTGACAACTTTGTTCTTTACAACAGTTTGGCTGAGGATGGCGCTCTGGCTGCTCTGCGGACCACAGCAGCATGTGTTTCAGGGATTGTTCTGGAAGGGGGAGCGCAGAAACAGCAGGGAGCAGAAGACAAACAGGCAATTCGTGACTCATTAAACACGGCGACGTTGGCCAGCACAGTGGAGGGGTGTGAGGACCTGCGTTCCAACCGGGCGATAAACCCCCCCAGTACCAGCTGGAGCAGGCATCTGTCAGCCGCACGCCACACCACGCCAGGCCACCGATTATCAGCAACGAGACACAACTGAGGGGCCGAACGTGGCCGTTTTCAAACGCCTAACACTTACATAACTGCAGTTGTGGGCTGGACCGGCACCAGAAGGTACCGAGTCAGGACTGACGTTAGAAACCTGAGAAGACGCGTCTCGGAGGTCCACGTGTCTTTTAGTCCTTCGGTCCAGAGTGGCAGGTTGGCAGTTTGGTTTGGAATTGTCTGGAAACTCAGGCCCAGAGCAAAGAAAGTCAAACCACAGCCGTGATAACACGCCGCTGTAATGTCACCCATGACAACCAGGGGGAGCAGTGTCCAGAAGCTGGAGGTCAGACGTGACGGGGGTCAGATGTGATATTTGATGAGTTTCATGAGGACGACGTCCTTTCTATCAATGTTAGGACAAAAAGGTTAAAGTCAACTTTAGCTCTGTGGCGTCAGATAGCTCAATGCTACATTAGCTTCAGGATCAGGTTGACTTAACTTGCAATTAACTCAGACTTGTTTGGCCAATTTGACCATTTCTGGTATTATTTCTTTCTAACTATTTTGTACTTCTTTGTATTTACTTGTGCTTTTGTTCATTTTGTCTTTATGAAAAGTTTAAAACGATTTTTTTTCTACCAAGCTTAAACTTTGAATGCCTGAACAACATTTTTTTTTTGCCAAAACAGCTTTATCTTACTATATTTTTAATCAACCTTTTATTGTTTCTGCTCTTTCCTTGATCTGTAACCTTCTTTTTTTTACCCCGGTTTAACAGTGTCGCGACAAATACAGTCACTTTGTCCTGAAACTTTAAGAGTGAAAAACGTGAACTAACGTAACAACAACAGAACTCAAACTTTTCTCACTTACAGAAGTACAAATAAAGGGTTAATGGATTTGATACTGTTACCTATTAAACCAAAGTCTTTATTATGGGCTGAATAAAACCGTAAGATACCAAAGCACTCGTGAGCCACTCCATTACAGTGTGAAGTGTCACAGGTGAAGCCGTTTACTCGTCTCATTTACAACAGTCTATGAATCCTTATCTTTAAAGTGGCCGTAAACAAGTTGGTTTCACCACAAAACAGATGAAATTATCGCCGTTTGTGTAAAAGGGCCGGTCTTTGTGAAAAACCAACTCATTATTGTCTTTTTTTTTTCCTCATTTCTATAAAGTGTTTTAGCACCTTTCAGCCTGTCGTTTGGTTTTAATGCAGCAGAAATAACCGTTCTCATCTGAGTGGTTTTTACGTCTCAGCGGCAGAAGATGTTTCTGTGGAAACGCTCCCCTCTACAGTCTGGGCCGGGTGTAAATAAGCAACTGTTCTCTAATAATTAACATGAATTTTAAAAAAATTATTGCTTTTTTTTTTTTGCACATTACTACACGTACATATAAAAATCCAAATCTTATTCGACCATTTCTACGGCAATGAAGCTCCGCCGAACTTGGACGTGTTTCAAAGAGCTGTGATTGGTGGTTTAAGGAGACGCCAGTCTCTTTAACGGCTATTTATTCCTCCATCTGTCTCAATAAGAAAAATAAAACCTCAGAAGAGAATATTCTCCCTGAAAAGATGAGCTGCTGGAGCGCACACGCCACATAACTCAATAATAACTGATGACACTCTGGATGCAGCGTAATCAAAATCCTCCATCGCCTGGAAAAGCTCCACATCAGCACAACTTTGCAACGAGGCAAAAGTTTGCTCTCAACAGAATTTAACGAGCTGCTAACTGCCTAATTAAACGCTGAGTGCAAATAAAAGCATGAAATATAGATAAGCTGGAAATGTTGCCTGTGGCTCCGCGGCGCTTTCTGGGAGGAGCGCGGCGACGTCTCCTAACGCCACAATCAGCAGAGCTGCGCTGAGGCCTCGGCCGTGAATGTTTGATAAGAGAGTGAAGACGTGAGCAAGTTTCAATCACCGGCCAACGGAGCCGTGTAAAAAAAAAACAGCAGAGTGCGTTTCGGCCACGAGCCCGCCGTTAACGCGGTGCTTGAGAAACTGGGGTAGTTTCCAGGATGGCGGCACGGAGCACTGCTGCTGTGACAGAAGGGGCCGCGCCCGCTCCTCAGCACCGATCGGCAGGCTGTAACTCTGACTGTAGCTGTCTTTATGGCTCCCTCTCCTCATTTCTCTGGAATATGAAAACATCAGCATATGGCTGCCGACAGCACCGGGGCCGAGGAGTCATTCTCCCCCACGTAACATTGGGACAGGGGTGACATTCGCTACCATACTGCCCCCCTGGCTCAGAAAGAAGTCAGGGGAGAGGCAGAAAGTGAGACGAAGACGCAGCTACAGGACGAGAAGAGACAGATGGTGGTACGCAAAAGGACAGAGAGAGAGAGAGAGAGGAGGAGAGACAAAGATGGTTCCAGGATAATTCTCCTGCAGCAGAAGGTCTTCTTCGTCTCTCAGTCTCCGTGTGAGTCAGTGTGCAGTTCACAGAGTTTCATGTGGCTGCAAGGAGCAGAAAATCTGTCCGTCAGCTGCCAAAGGTTCCAGCTCCGCTCGGTTCCTCTGAGCGCTCTTAAAAACCCGCTGTTTCACACCCATGAATGACACTATTTATGGCCCTGGTTAAAATGGACACTTTCTGGCAGACGGCATGTGTGTGTGTGTGTGTGTGTGTGTGCCATGTGGCAGATGGAAGGCAATATGGCACACCTCTGCCTGGACAGATGTGGCACAGCACATCACACTGAACCACGAGAGGGATCAGAAACCTCCGGAACATCTGGACCTGTGGCAACCTTCACCTGAGCCAGAACACCACTGCACTGAGGAGGAGGAGCAGGAGGAGCAGGAGAAGAAAGGAAGCAGGAAACAAGAGAAGGAAGCGTCAGTGAAGTTCCCTCCACGTCCCGTCTTCATCTCTGGTGGCATGTTTGACGGACAGAGGAAGAATCCCACCTCCCTCAGTGAGGCCTGTCAATCATCTGCTCTGTGGAGTGGAGCGCTGGGGTGCGTCCCAACATGGGCCTGTCATGGCCTGTTGCACAGGAGTGTA